CTCTCTTTATGTTATTTTTTATTGCTAGAACGATGATTTGAAGAAGAAATATTTCGTTCATATTATTGATGTCACTAAATAAACCCTTGTATAATATGTTATACTTCTAGATGTTATAGTAATGCATTTTCGTACAGCAAACTTTCATTCCCTATTCTACTCCCTAAGGGTATGAATTTCATAAATTCCTATGTCCAAATAATTAACTCATGTCTTTTAAATGATCCTTTGTGCAAATTTTTATGTGTATAATCCAGAGGTCACGAAGGTTTATATAATGTTTTACTAACTTTACCCATTTGGTTGATGAATTTCAAAAATCTCTTCTTATTCTTCTTTCTGTAGAATTTCATTCTTCTAGTAAATGATTTTCATACAACATATATACTTTGTGCTAATATTGATGTATCTAAAGCTAGTGGTATGAACTGACCCCTAAAATATCTAAAAACTTGATATATAATATCTATAATCTGTGTCAGTTAGATTTATACAACCAACCAAACCAAACCAAACCATTGACAATGACAAATAATTGATTTCTGGAGGTATTTTGTGTAGGTGTTTTTCAGGTATGTTTTAATATTTATTCGTTTTATATAAAGATATACCGATTAAACGATATAATAATACTTTATAACAAATCTAGACATATATACCTTTCATTTAAAAAAAGAATCATCAAGATTGGTGAGGCGGTTTCGGCGGGATGGATGTAACAAAAAAACCCTTTGAGCTTTTATATATGTATCCCACTTCGGTATCACAAGCTGAATTTTTCAGGGAAGGAAGTACAAGTACGTGATATGGGGACCCTTATTCCAAAAGTAGTACAAAATTAGACCGGGAAAAAGGGCACTATCATCAAAAATCGATATATTAATACCACCGTATAGAGAAAACAAATACTTATTTTTTGATCCAGTACAAAATAAAGTCTTCGTAGGGAGTAATTTTTTATAATTATTTGCAAAAAAACATTTCCATTAGCGCTTATGACCGAAAAAAACTTTAAACATGAATAACTCATTTCAATCATGCGAAAATTTGGTTTAAAAATGGACTTTTTTAAATATAACTTTCATTTAACGAAAAACGAAGGCCTAAATGAAAAAAAGAAACAATTTATAAGTTTCGCTTATGTCTTGACAAGGTAACAAAGCAAACCCCATATTTTTTGCTTTTAAACTAATAACGATATATCAATAAACAATTAGCGATGTCCGACTGCCGCCGCCGCGCCGAGATTTCCTATACGTATACGCGTGATGACGTCATGGTGTGGCAAATGTAGCATTTTAATTCGATTTGGGCTCCCTTATATAGGATAACAGAAACATTTTCAATGTTAAAACGTGTCCATGGAATGGAATCATTGTTTTGCGTTTTGTGTATCGTTTTTCTAGAAATACAAATTAATATTTAATTTTTAAGAGAAAATACTCAAAAATAACTCGGATAAGGCGGGTTTTATTACAGTATGCTGCATATTGGGTTTTTTTTTTGCTACAGTAAGATATTTGCATCCTAACTTGGGATTTAAAAGATATGCTAATTTATTAAAATTAGGTAAGGATTTGAAATGGATAAGACATCAGTAGTAGTAATATTATACTTGTCTAAAATGCCTATGAAAAATGCGGGATTTGTTACTTAATAATACACTTTTCATTTGGTTAATAAAAATTTGAATCTAATCTTGTCATCAGTAACGTAATTTGTAGTGATTTTTTTATATAAATAGGTGACTTTTGCTGCAGTTTGAGACTATGTTTATGTATATTTCAGGGTCCACTATTAATATTATATCATTAGCAATTTTTTTAAACAAATTATTGACATTTAAAAGCCACTATGTCATAATTTCGTAATGAATTAATCTATTGTGTAAAAATCTAATATGGCGCTTATAAGAAAACATAAATTTAATGATGGTGGCCAGAAACGAAATGTCATGTGACAAATCTGGAAACACTGATGTATAGCTGGAAAGAAGTGGCAATGAAAATGTGCTTTTAATTTTAGGATATCTTGCTAAATAACGTAAAAAAATAAAATCGAAATATTTAATTTCCGTTTTTTTCCGTATCCGGAACTACCTACTTATAATCTACGGAATTTTAAATGTTCCTAAACGGCATGTTGTTAGGCACATTAATAGACAATATTTTTAAATCAGGTTGATGAACACTTTTCATATCAACTCATGAGCAAGACTCTGATTCCTAAATCTACTCAAAAAAACTTTAAATAAATTAAAGGTGATAAAGTTTGAACATTTTTTTTTCATTCCTATATCGAATTTATTCTAAAGTTATTGGGCTACAAGGGCTACAATATGGATATGAATAAATACCTACCTGTGAAGTACTATAGACTAATCTTCAAATAATCGAGACGAATTTATCATGACGCTAAGAGGAATCTATCGATTGCTCTTCTGTTATCTTGGACAAATATTCAAATATTTCTCGCTCTTATCTTCCGACTCTGGTGATCTCTTCCTTTCTGCTGTCATCCATATCGCGACTTTAGCGATAACTGCAGTTGGTCGATTTGTCCTAAATATACAGAACTCGAAAAGTGTGTTTTTCTTTGGCATGTAGGTAAACAAAAACCTCACGCTTTTAGTCAAAGTCCACGTGCGGAAAACATTTAGACGTTAAAATGAATTTTAAACTGTCTATCAATTTAAGGAGATGTGAATTAACTGATTAAAAAAATGTATGAATCTATAATGATTATGAATATAATATTATCTATAATGATTATAATGATTTGTGAAATTTTCTATACAGCCTGTTCAGAGCTGCGAGCTCATAGAAAATTTAAATCTTTTTTGATTTAAAGTCATTTTTCAAGCTGGCTTAAGACCTAAAATCTAAGTCATTTTCAAAATTTTCAAATCAAAAAGTCAAAGTCAATGCAAAATGACTTAAGTTTTCAATGACTTAGAAAAGACTTAAGTCATTCAAAAGATTTAAGATTTTTTTGAAAAGGCTTAAGTCAGATTTTTATATACTTTTATGATAAATTTTTAACAGCAGCTTTCCATTTTAAACTGATAGGCGGCAGTTGAGTAGCAGAATAAAAAGACAATGCTCAATACCACTAGCAAATAAAACGTTAGTTTTTCGGAACCGGTTTTGATTATTTGTCGTGTTACGCGTACGTAGTGCGTCTGTTATCTTTCAAGTGAATCCCTATGTAGCCCTAAAGACGAACGAAAGAAATTTATCTCGAATATATTGAAGAGTACCTTAAAATCCCCCAGCCCTTCGCTTATACCATCGATACAATACCTAGTGATCAAAACACATCACCCCTTTTTAATAGACATGTACTCGATGACATCTAAACTGTAAACTGTAATGATAATAAGTACTACAACATCGGTTAAATTTTATAAAAGAAAAACATATTTTTGCGTTTGTAGTTGTTCTGAAAATATTAACCGTTTTATTTTATGTGGTTTTAGTCTCTCTGTACCTACAATAAATTAATGTTATGATACTAGTAAGAAAAGTGCCTAATTCGTAATACAAGAAAATTAATATTAACATTTAAAAAAAGAACTTAAATTTAATTCTAGCTGCCTTTACTTGAGTGTAATTATATTTATTTAAGTCATTTAAATTGCAGATTATCATGATTTAAATCAAAATATGGACTTAAGTCATAAAATGCTTCAAAACAAGCAGTTTTTGAGCATTGTCAAAAGAGTCGATGGCGAAACCAGAAGAATGGGCTGGCACAAAAGAGCGTGCTGGGTCTTTTTCAACATATACACAAATGACCAACCTATTCCAGATAACACTAGAACCTTTGCATATGCAGATGACCTAGCAATAACAATTAAAGGCAAAGGGTTCGAAGATATCGAGGAGAAACTAGAAACCGCCCTAAAAACAATGTCAGCTTATTACAAAAAGAATTCTTTAAAACCGTTGGGCTTATTACAAAAAAGAATTCTTTAAAACCCACCAAAACTAAAGTGAGTGCATTCCACCTGAATTCAAGATAGGCGACCCGCTGACTTAATGTCACATGCAAATACGTTTAAAATAAAGTATACGGAGGGTACCGCTTAAATTCCTGTCCCGATATTGAAGGATGGCTATAGAATTTCAATGCATTTCCTACATAAGTCTATCCTTGGTTTGTAGGAGGTTTGACTAAACAAGGATGAACCTATGTCTTGAACATTCGACTCGATTTTCTGTCCTCCTTCAATACTGGGACGTAAATCCTCTCATTGCTCTTATGGGGAGGCCGTCGTATATTTTATTTAAACGTATTTGGTCACATGGGACGGGACACCACTAGAACACACAGATTAGCCTACCTATCTTGGCGTCGTGCTGGACAGAACATCGACCTACAAATATCACTGCGAAAAAACACGCAAAAAAGTAGAAGCACGAAATTTCCTCATAAGGAAGCTGACCAATAGTAAATGGGGAGCCAAACCTATGGTGATCAGAACTTCTGCTCAAGCTCTATGTTTCACACACTGACACTGTTTGGCGCCACGGAGTACTTTACAAACTAATTAGTATAGTACCATGTTTGAGGATCATTAAACTAATTGATAGTATGATTGGTGACAGAGGTTTCCGGGTTGTTATGGGGGAGAAAATAAGTAAGCAGAAAATACGAAACAATGGATTACCGCAGGGATCGGTGTTAGCACCCTTGCTTTTCAACCTGTATATAGCCGACATACCAAAAACGATATGTAGAAAGTTCAGATACGCCGATGACTGGCTTATAGCCACCGGACAGAGGTCAATGGAAGTTACTGAGAAAGTCTTAACATCTGATTTGACAGTACTAGCAGAGTATTTTCGCAAGTGGCGGCTTAAACCAAAGGTTTGTAAAACAGAGGCTTCTTTGAGGGAAGACGGCTCTCACACAACAGACAACCCACATATCTTGGAGTTACGTTGAATAGAACTCTGTCATTTAAGGTCCATCTTGTTGTATCTATGGATTATTATATGTTAAGTTTAATCTGTAGCATCTTGATATGACATAACCCTGATTGACAGTTAAGTTAGATTCTGCTTGACAGAATGTTGTTTTGTATTGTTCTCAGATGTTTAATAGTTTAATAAACTTAGTTTAATAAACGTTGTATTTTTATTAGTAAAAATACAGAGAAATAAAACATGGTGGCAGCGGAAAAATAAAAGCCAGCGAGAAAAGAAGCCAAAAAAGTCAAGGATTGTAAGAATATTTCAGGAAGTTGGTAGTCACTGTGGTAAACACGTTGAAAAAAGAATCAAAAATGGACGTGAGGCTGCCGGAGCAGATGAAGTTTACGGGAAATATAAGCGAAAATTTCAAGTTATTTAAACAAAATTTTGAAATTTTCTTACTGGCCAAAGGGAAACAAGAAGTACAAGATGAAGTAAAAGTAGCTTTGTTGTTAAATTGTATGGGTCAAGAGGCGATAAATGTCTACAATACGTTTTCACTTAATGAAGCTGAAAAGAAACAATACCAGAAGGTCATAGACGAGTTTGGGAAATATTGTAATCCGAAAAAAAACGTTATATATGAAAGATATATGTTCTTCTCACGTAAACAAGAAGAGGGTGAAGGGATCGACAAATTTGTGACAGATCTGAAGAAACTAGCGGAAAGCTGCGAGTTCAATGAGCAAAAAGACTCGCTAATAAGAGACAGGATTGTCTTGGGAATCACAAATTTGAGACTACAAGAAAGATTGTTGACTCGTGAAGACTTAAATTTAGAAAAAGCAATAAACGAATGTCGAGTTGCTGAAATATCAAAGCTTCAAATTGATGAAGTACAGAAAGATCAAAAGCAAGTATATGGAGTTAGAAAAGAAGAGAGAAGAGGATACGAAAAAGAAAATAAGCTGAAGAAAAATGAAGGTAATAAGTTTGATTGTAGGAAATGTCTCTCGAAGCATGGACCAAAACAGTGCAAGGCATATGGGCAGAAGTGTTTTAAGTGTGGCCTAGTCAATCATTTTGCAAAGGCATGTACCAGAAAACCGGTCAAGAAAGAGGTTAAGGAGGTATCAAAAGAAAAGGGTGATGACAATGTAAATGTTGATAAATTTTTTGTAAATTCTATTAACACACAAAACTGTAAAGCACTATATAAAGAAGTGGACATTAAAGGTAACATTGTTAGATTTAAGATAGATACAGGTAGTGAAGTAGACATTTTACCATTAAAATTATATAAGAGTCATTTAAATGATAAGAAATTAGAGTCATGTAATATCATACTTGAAGCATATGGGGGGTTTAAAATCAAGCCTATTGGCCAGATAACTGTTAATATTTTTAATGACAAGTTAAAAGAAAAATTAACGTTAGTAGTAGCCGATGTTAAGTCTGAGCCAATATTAGGTTTGAAAACTTCTAATATGCTAGGTTTTATTAAAAGCATAGATTCAGTAGTGTCTAGTAAAGAATTGTTTATTCAAAATAATAAGTCAATTTTTACTGGTGTAGGTAAATGTCCTCAAAAGTGTTCGATAAAGCTTAAAAAGTGTTGTCAACCTGTAGCACATCCAGCAAGGAGAGTACCATTAGCAATTAAGGAGGAGTTAAGAAAAACATTGAATGAGCTAGAACAGAAAGGTATAATTAGCAAAACAGATAGTCCAGGAGATTGGGTAAGCAATCTTGTTATAATCGAGAAATCTAATGGCAGTTTACGGCTATGTTTAAATCCTCAGGATTTGAACAAGGCCATACAAAGAAATTTTTATACTATTCCCACAATAGAGGATATAAGTTCAAAATTGTGTAATAAAAGTTGGTTTACTGTATTAGATTTCAAGGATGGTTTTTATCAAGTTGAATTAGATCACAAATCAAGTGAGTTGTGCACGTTCAGTACAGTGTTTGGTTGCTATAAATTTTTGAGACTACCCTTTGGGCTTACTAATGCTCCTGAGTATTTTCAAAAAGTAAATGAGGAAAATTTTGGGGATATAGAAGGTGTTATAATATATTTTGATGATTTGTTGATAGCAGCAAATACTGAACAAGAGCATGACGCTATACTGAAAAAGGTGATAGAAAGAGCACAAATGCTAAATATAAAATTTAATCAAACAAAGTTACAGTATAAAGTAAACGAAGTAAATTACGTTGGACATGTTTTTTGCAAAGACGGAATGAAACCGAGTAAAGATAGAGTAAAGGCAATTCAGGCTATAGAAAATCCGACTAACTTGAAAGAGTTACAGAGAGTTCTCGGAATGTTAAATTATTTGAGAGGATTTATTCCTAATTTTGCAAAAGTAACAAGTCCAATAAGAGAGTTATTGCGTAAAGACGTACATTTTCAGTGGAATCAAAAACATACAGAAGTATTAAATAAATTAAAAGACATACTAGCTAGTGATCTTGTACTAGGGACATTTCAAAGTGACAAACCTATAGTTATTCAGACAGATGCGTCAAAAGATGGATTGGGTTGTTGCTTAATGCAGGACAAACCAACATATCATGGTTCAAGGTCACTAACAGCAGCTGAAAAGAATTATTCACAGTGTGAAAAAGAATTGCTTGCTGTGGTATTTGCTGTAAGTAAATTTCATCATTTTATTTATGGCAGAGATGTCAAAATTATAACTGATAATAAACCATTGTTGGGAATAATGAAGAAAGACTTAAGCAAAGTACCATCACCAAGGTTACAAAGACTCAAGTTGAAACTAATTAGATATAATCTAAATTTTGAATATTGTCCAGGTAAACATATGTATATTGCTGATTTGTTGTCAAGGTCATATATTAAAGATGAAGTACAAGATGATCCAGATATGAAAGAGATAGTGCATAGTATTGAGAAGCATTTTAGTATATCTGAGGAGAGAAGAGCTCAATTTGAGAAAGCTATACAGCATGATAGTGACCTAAGTAAGTTAATAGAGTATATAAAAAATGGATGGCCTAAATATTTTAAGATGATACCAAATTCTTTAAGACCATACTGGCAATATCAAAATGATATAACATTATCAAATAACTTATTATTATTAAAGGACAGATTGATAGTTCCAAGAACATTAATACAAGACATGTTAGATCTTTTACATGAAACACATTTTGGAATGACAAAGACCAAACAAAGAGCCAAAGAAATGTTATATTGGGTAAATATGAATGCTGAGATAGAAAAGTTAATAAGAAATTGTCAAATTTGTGAGAGATATTCACCAAAACTCTGTAAAGAACCAATGATACCACATGAGATACCTAATAGACCATTTAAAAAAGTTGCTAGTGATATATGTGACTATGGAGGCAAAAGTTATCTGATTCTCATGGATTATTATTCAAAATGGCTAGAGATTAAACAAATGAAAGGAAAAACATCATATGATGTGATTAATGCACTGAAAGAGATATTTTCAATACATGGTATACCTGATGAGTTAATTTCAGATAACATGCCATACAACTCATATGAATGCAGACAGTTTGCCAAGCAATGGAATTTCAAAATATGCACAAGTAGTCCTCATTACCCCAAGTCCAATGGACTTGCAGAGAAAGGTGTTGGAATAGCAAAAATGATGCTTCGTAAAGATCAAGATTTAATGTTAAGCTTGCTAAATTATCGCACTACTCCTATTGTAGGGCTGAACCTGACTCCTTCACAATTGCTAATGGGACGAAACTTAAAAACTAAAATCCCTATTGATGAAAATAAATTGTTACCAAATAGTTATAATAATTCTAATATTAAAAATGAGATTTGTAGGAAAAGAGAGTTAGATAAAAAATACTATGATTTAAATTGTAAAGTTCGGAACAGTTTTAATGAAGGCCAATTTGTTGTGATTCAGAATCAAAATAATAACGAGTGGGAGGCAGGTCAGATTGTTAAACCTGTTCCTGACTCACCTAGGTCTTATATTGTCAAAGACTCAAGAGGCGCTATTGTACGTAGAAATAGTTCCCATTTAAAAAGTTCTGAAAGTGGTTCAGTGATTGATCAAAATACTTGTTGTGACAGTGCGGATCAAAACTGTGATAGTTCATCCGAGATAGTGTCCGTACATCAAGAAAATGAGCGTCCAAAAAGACAAATTAAAAATCCGGTTAAATTTAAAGATTACCAATTATTTTAAGAAGGGAGATGTTGTATCTATGGATTATTATATGTTAAGTTTAATCTGTAGCATCTTGATATGACATAACCCTGATTGACAGTTAAGTTAGATTCTGCTTGACAGAATGTTGTTTTGTATTGTTCTCAGATGTTTAATAGTTTAATAAGCTTAGTTTAATAAACGTTGTATTTTTATTAGTAAAAATACAGAGAAATAAAACACATCTCACCAAGCTTGCTGCAAAAATGCACACGGAACAACATATTACAAAAGCTATGCGGCACTACCTGGGGATCATCTGCGGCCACTCTAAGAACATCAGCCTTGAGCGTCGTGTACTCAACGGCCGAATACTGTTCACCTGTCTGGTTGAATAGTGACCATGTCAACAAAGTAGATGTCCAGCTGAATATCACAATGCGAATCATCTCAGGAGCTATACGAACTACGCCCAAATACTGGTTGCCTGTTTTAAGTAACATACCTCCTCCTAACTCGAGGAAAAAACAGGCTTTACATAGAGAGCACAAGAAAATATTGCTAAACCGGGAACTACCAGTACATTGTTAATATTAATAGACTCCGCTCAAGTACAAGTTAAATATTAATAGACTCCGCTCTTGTACAAGTTAAATATTAATAGACTCCGCCCTTGTACAAGTTAAATATTAATAGACTCCGCTCAAGAAAGCCACCACTCTCATCCAAAACACTTGGGAATACTGACGAGAATGCAGAGTTCAACTTATATGAAGCATGGATGAAAGCATGGACGGAAAACGCTCCACCACAAAGTCGGGATTTCACATGTATCTCAGCAGTTCCTCCTGGTTTTGAGCAGCCTCGCAAAATATGGGTAACTCTAAACAGGCTGAGAACCGAACATGGCAGGTGCATGGATTCTCTCTATAAATGGGGAAAGGCCACCATTCCGGTACAGGCCACCATTCCAGTACAGGCCACTGTTCGACATATTAGAGAAGAATGCGCTTTAACGGCATATGAGGGAGATTTTGGAGATTTCCTGAAGGCAACACCAAGTGCGATTGATTATATAAAAAGACTAGACGTTTGTTTGTGACAAGTTTGTTTTGTACTATATTTTAAATTTTCATTTTTACATTTTGTGTTTGACATGTCCAATTTTTGTTCGTATTCTTATTATTAGTATATTTACAGCTGTAACATGTGAGTTTACGTGTACTAGAGCCATACGCTAAATAAATAAATCTCAACTGCAGAATATGCTTGCCCAGTGTGGTGTAGATATGCACAAGCAAAAAAGAACATCAGCCTGAATGAAACATGCAGAAAAGTGACAGGTTGTATGAAACCAACCCCCTTAGAAAACCTCTACAAGGCCGCAGGTTTTACAAGCCCCAATTTACGCAGAAAAGCTCATGAACATACTGAGAAGCTAAAACAAACCTTTGATGCTCGTCACTTAATTTTTGGCCAAGAGTGCGGCACAGGTAGACTTAAATTCAGACGCCGCCGTTTCCTAAGCCGCCCCCTGGATGAACCTCCCTCCCACTACCCACTGAGAGGACCCACCAAATAGTGTTTCTAGCGAGGGGAAAACCTGGAAATTGCTCAACTGAATCAGAACTGGGGTGGCCCCAGTAAATAACGACAGAAATGACGACAAATGCGACTGCGGTGCCTTTCAGGACATGGAACATCTTCTTCAATGTCCTGCGTACCCCCACAGATGTACCCTCGATGACCTATGGCTGGCTAAACGGGAAGGATTGGACGTAGCCCATTACTGGGTTAATAAACTATAATATAATCCGGACACGAAAAAGTAAAGTAAAGTAAGTCATAAAAACCACTTAAATAACGTTATATTGATTTAAGTCTTTACAAAAATGGCTTGACTTCAAATAAAATGGTTTAAGTCAAAGACTAAAAGACTTAAATAATTTAAAATGTATGTTGAATTTGACTTAAGACTTAAATCATTCTGATTTTAGAAATTATTTAAGACTTTTAAGTCTTTTTAAAACTGACTTGTTGCAGGTCTGAGCGTGTTGCAACACCGACCTGAACGTAGGAAATCCCATGTGAATTTTAAAAACCTAACCACTTCTTTTACTCCAAACTAAATCATTAGAAGCTAATAAAAATGAACAATTTGCTTCATTTCAAATATTCTATAAAAAGTTTTATTTACTGTCTTCAAAAATTAGAACGGCAAAACTGATGTTGAGATACTAAATGTCAAAGTCTTTTGAAGCCCATAAAACAACGAATACCGGGTGATATTCGAGCGTGAAGGTGTAGAAATGCATAATTAAAATTCATTAGTACTGCGCGGTATTGCAAGAAAAATATCCGCTTCTCGGATCTGGAACTATCTATTCAAATCCGACATGCAAACGGTATGTACCGTAGTGTGTGCGTTTGGGTGTAGGTACATGTGGGTACTTCTGTCTTAACTGTTATTATTTTCATCATTTTTTTAACATCGAAATGTTTATGGGGTCTAAAACGTCAAAAGCTTCATATATGTACTAAACTTGCAATATATCATTTCTTCGTGTATAATAATATGAGACCTGTTCCCATTCCTAAGTGGAAACCAACTTAAAACAGAACAGAAGAACCTAGAAGGCTCCATCCGTAACCTAGAATGGGAATCCTCCAACATCTTAAGACACAGAAATTTCTCAGGACTTCTTCGGAAGGACTTCTGAGGACTTCTTCAAGAATTTTCGGATTGTCACGGGGTTTATAACAGGATACTGTTTCCTCAATGAAAACCTAAGTAGACTAAAGCTAAGAAACAACGGCGAATGCAGATTCTGTAGGGAAGATGAGGAAACATCAGAACACCTCATCACTGAGTGCGTCAAGACGACAACCATTCGTGCCATAAATTTTTTTTGCCATACGACTGATATCGGAAATGGAGAACTAGCTTCTATGAAAGCCACCTCAGATACTGGCTTTTGTCACAGCCATGAGACTGTATGAGTTTTTTCACACTCAGTGATGAGATGTTGTTGTGTGTTCCCCATTTTTCCAACAGAATCTGCATTCTCTAGGCATTGTCTGACCAACTTCGAATTGATGTTTTGTTTCAATAACAAGGGACCGTCCTCTGCCGGAAACAGTGCGACCTGTGTGGTCTATTGTGTTTGTCCCCTTTCTATATGTGCACCCATTCTCCTATCCCTGTGCCCTGCACTAACTTATGCAGGTCCTTGATAGGATGGGACCATAGTTCCTCCGGTTCTAGCCTAGCTTTACTAAATAAAATGTGTCGATTGCGATCTAGAGTTTCGCAGTGACATTATTTTGTGCACCGCTGTTTCTGGATCTTTATTGCAGAGTCTGCAGCAAAGACTCCCTTGAAACAGGTTGAGCTTCTTCAGGTAACACTTGACAGCCATATGTCCTGTCAAGAGCCTTGTTGTAATCCGCACTTTATTCCTGCTAAGTATTAACAGTTCTTTTGTGGTTTTAGAGCTAGGTCCTTGGCCTTGCTGTGCCTGTGTCCTTGTCTCTTTCTCCAGTGGACATTCTGCTTTTCCCTGATTCAGAGTTTTAGTGCACTACGAGCCACACTTGGGTATTTCCAGTACTGACTCTGGACCAAGATAGGATGCCGATGATCCTCGCCTAGCTAGCTCATCAGCTTTTTCGTTGCCTTGGATGCCGCTGTGGCCTGGGACCCAGAATAATTTAATTTTGTTCGTTTGTGCCAGACCTCCCAGTTCACCTAGCCATTCCCAGACGAGTCTTTGGGCTCATAAGCGCCCCAAGTGCCGCCTGACTGTCTGAGCATTGATATTTCCCTTGGTGTTTCCCCAAATACTCCGGCTCCTGTTCCTTCAGCGATCTTTGATCCGTCTGTATACCAGGTTAGTCCGTCCTGAAGGAATGTTATATCTGTTCACATTCCTCCATCCATTTTGTTCACTTCGAATGGTTTGTGGTAGTGATAAAGTGGGGTCATTTGGTGCGATCTCTCCGAATTGATGGTTACTTAGTATAATATACCTTACAGGTTGTAGTATTTCCGACTTGAGATGGCCCTTTAATAATGAGAAAACCAGTACAGGACATAAAAAATCACATTTAGAACAGAATCGCCCGTATGTGGCGCTTATACGCTAGAACACACACGGCCCATTATTTATGATAATTCTTTTTTCACAATCGCGCGCGACGCAGTGGAGGCGTCGAGCGCCTTTTCAGATTATTCATAACATTCCCAGAATTCGTGACAATTATTATTGAAATATCGCCGGCCATTTCTTTGGAATTAATAAAGTAAGCGCTCTTGAAATTAGCGATAGCGCTAATTTGCATCTTGTAAGTAGCTTACAGGGAGGAACAAGGTTGCTTTTACAGGACGATACATTTTTGTTTTTGAAGTGAAAGGTCGTGACACGGCCGTAACACATGAGAGGCGATAGGAAAAGCAGTAACGTTGACTTTTTGATCTTGAAGCGGTCGTAAATCGAGCCCTAAGTGGGCTAGGGGGCCGAAACTCAGTTGTCCCACCCTGAAAAGTTGGATACGACGCATCGTTTCCTTTACATCTTCATCAGGGTGGGACTAATAAGGATTTGATATTGAAAAAAAAACTCTGAGTCGATTTCGGCATAATTGGGGATGGGCTCCAGGATGACGCCCTCGACGTTTCGGACCGATCGATGCCTGTAAATGGACGAAATGACGAAATCATCAAGTTTTTTTCTTAATTATGGGTCGATTGGAACCACACTCGGCACGTGGATAGAGTTACCCCAATGGAGTTCTCAGTAAGAAGAAGTTTCACTTCAAATATACGCACATAGTGCACACACAATTTTTTTTATTAACGGAAGTCAGGTCAATAGCTAACCTAGTTTAGTAAAGAGTGTGAAAATACTGCAAAAACTCCTGCTCCTTATAATAGTTAATTTAAAATCCAAAGAGCTGATTGATGAAGTAAAGTAAAGATTTTAGTTAACGTCTCCTTATTGCTGCCAGGACTAATCTGGACGGGGCCTACTTTGTTTACGCGGAATCCGAACCGCGGTCCTCGGCCATATCATGGTCAACGGCCTACCGACTTGGCAAGTGTCTAAATCGACTCTTACTCACGAGATATCCGATTTCATCCGGC